CGTACCACCTAAGTGAATTTAACCAATAAAAAATCGTCCAATTCATGTAAATAGTAGCAATAAGAAAAATACAATCCATCAAAGTGTCAAAAGGTAGCAACTTCAGGGAATTTATCGCGACCCCAAAAAATTCAATTGGTAATACGTATTCCGAAAAACGCCTCCAAATTCGAAAGTTACTTGAGTGCAACCACCTGACAAGCGCAACCCTGAGTCAGACAGTCACCTATTGGCACGGTGTAACTGTGGGGGGGCCCAGCTGGACAACTTGTATCCAAGTGACCGAAAAAAGAGGAGACGTCCACCTCCTGTGAGCACTCACCATGCTCGTTCCCGTTAACGGCCAACGCGACTCCCCCCCCTGCAGCGCACTGCGCGCACGGGGGATCACGACGCGTTGGAAGGAATAAGCAATAGAACCCGTTAACGGTGCTCCGCGGAGACGCACAGGTGGCAGACAATGCGCAAAATCATTCGGAATATAAGCGCAGCTAAGAAACAACAGCAATGCTGCGATAAATGAGCGGCCCCTTTGATTTCCACCAAAGCGACCGCCCATTTCTGATACTGTAATAAAAGCAAGGGCAACTTCTAATATAGTATCAGTGTCATTGTGACAACCAACCAGTTACCATGCATTTGCCAAAGTTCATCGTTTGCCTGATTGCCATTTCATTTGCCCGGGGTCAGTTGGGAGGAGAGGTCTTTTTCAAGAACGTGGGTCTGACAACTCCACAAGCTTCCTTCGGACACATCGTGTCCAAAATTTCGGTAAATATAAATAGCTAAAAAGTCATTTCGACGGAAATATCATAACCGCGAAAAATTCATTAAAGGTTGATAAGTTGTTCCAATCGTTCGACCGATTGTCGGACATCGTCCACTCGGTCGCCAACGTCACCGCGAGAAGCGACCAGCAACTCGAGCATGAATTGTACCCGGTCCAACAACTGATGAAGAGGATCCAGATGGTTTGGTCCATCCTCAACCACCAGAGCAAGGGTCAGTTCAAGCAAGATGACGTCAACGCTCTCCAAGAGGTCATTGATGCCAGGACCAAGAGAAGCTCTGTCCAAGTGGGTTTCAACCTGGCATCATTCTCCATGAATTTAATGAACCGGATGCAACTAAATTATATTGAGCGCCGCGCGGATAAAGATAGAGAATTATTAGCCATTTCTATGAAGGAAGGAGCAGCCAGACTCACAGTGTTCAATGAACACTTTCAACGCACAACTAGCGTTATAATTAATCAAGTAAAAAAGTTAACAAAAATATCGATCAAACTAGCCCTGGAGAGGACTAGGTGGGAGGTTAGATCATTGATCAACACCTTCCAAATCGAGCTGACTGATTTCCACTCAGCTCTGATCGATTTAATGCATCATAAGACCAGCCCACTCCTCCTTGATCCCAACCACTTAAATCAGGCCTTTGCTCGACTCAAAGAGAGAGCAGTCGCAACTGACATGCGACACCCGGTTCTTGATGACGCCGGATTAGTGTATCAATCCGAGGTAGATACTCTAGTTAAAAATAATCAATTGACAATTTTTATTCATGTGCCCATGTATAAAGCGCCATTGTTGGACATGTATAAATATCTCCAGACACCGATTTTCTTGCAAGCTCCATTGGCAATTACCATACAGACAGAGTTCAGCCACTTGGCAGTGAACAAAGAACGCTCAATGGCGAAACATTTCACTAAAGAAGAGCTGACAAAATGCAAAATCTTTGGAGATATTTGGCATTGTCCAGAACGGAATTTCCTCTCAATTAAACCGGCCAATCTTTGTTTATTCAATCTGTTCCAACAACAGATCGAACAAGTAAAAGCAAACTGCAAAAACCAGTTGGAAAAAGTTGAATTCTCAGCCACACAGCTGGGAAACAACAAATTTCAACTCTCTTTGCCCGAAAAAGTAAACATGACGAAAATGTGTAAGAATGACACAAACACGTCACTGCAGCTTCCAGAAGGAAATTCCGTTATCACTATAAAAGATGACTGTCCAACAGTCCAAGTTATTGACCACGTGTTTTACCACAATCCAAAAATTGTGATAAGACACGAACTCATTCATTTGCCTCTGTTAGCCAACAGGTCAAATTGGCTAACGGAAATTGACCGCTCGGTCAATGATCTGTTGTCATCGTATGACAGCATGATCAAAGTTGCCGAAACTGTCTCATTTGGACAGTTTCTTGAAAAAATTAACAATGTAAAAAGTTATCAATTACCCCACATTTATACAATAGTAGTCGCGATAGGAACAATCACATTGATTGTTTTATCTACCACCATATTGGTGCTGTACATAAAGAAAAAGCTCAAAAAGTTAAAAACGAAATTGTCAGAACCTGAAGTTGCAGTAAAATTTGTACAAAGTGTAGCCACATGTCAACCTGTCAATGCCTCTATTTTCATGACGCGAAGAATAAATGACCAATGAATAATGTTTATTTCATGCCTCATTCATGATTTACTCTAACATGCTACTAACCACTGAAATGTGCTATGACATGACAACAGCTATTTTGAACTTCGTAAAACATCTGAGGTGAAGGATGACCTGACCGAAAGCTTGATCCACTTTCGCCAGGTACGGAGGAATCTTGCACTGGAAGAAAGTCAAAACCACGTTTCTAAGTCTTCCTTTCCAATACTTAATCCCTTTTGGTGGGAGTGTATGTGGAGCCACCTAGTGGAGGAATGCTCAATCACTAAGGAGTCCATATTACATGCTCTATCAAGTGGAAAAGGGAGAAAGTAACGGAAGGAGGAATCCTCTTCTTTCCATTTATCTATCCATCTCTGATGAGCGGTTTTTCCCTGAAGGGCAGGGTTTTTTCACCTCTCATACTAGAGAGGGGGTTAACATGACTCCCCCCACTCTAGGGAGGAAAAGCTTGGCTTCACTTTGACGTTTGGCGTCATTTGGAAGCTTGGCTTCACCTCCAGGGATCGTTAGAACAAAAACCCGTTCAATAATTCAGTTCCATTTGAGTGCTTCGTGTTGAAACAATCGATCAGAGTGGAGCTTTCAGCTTTCTGCGTTTTCAGACTCGTTCATTTCGGTTGAGTTATTCGCGAGTCTCTTTTCCAGGGTCAATTTTCAGGTTATAGCATCCCAGTTTGAGGGACCTATAATAGTGGTGCATTCGTCCGATCAAAAATCCAGGCGACACAGTCGCTTTTTCCACTGAACACATCGGATAAACAAGGGAAATTGTTTTTGTCAAAACAATCTTAAGTAAAGATGGATCTTCAGCAAAGACAGGTTGAAGAAATCCCGACCCTGGCCAAGGGCCCCACCACGGAGTTGGCATCCGCGGTGATGAAGGAGGTCCTCCTGGACCGAGTCATGGCGGTGGAAGGAGATCCGGTGGAACATCTCGTACAAGAGTCCATCAAGTCATACGAGAAAAACGCCACCCGGTTCCCGCCAGTGACACCAACAAAGTGCCGCACAACCTGTCGTACCAGAGTGACCAGGTTGTTGGGGGAGATCAGCAAGACCACCAACCACGCCAGCTTCGACATCAACCAGACTCTGGACCTCAAGCCAATGTTGAAACAGGTGTTGGTTCACCTGTGGGAAGAAGCAATTTTCACGGTCCTGGCAAGAACCATCATGGACAGGGACACGATGGACAAGGACGTGAAAAAGAGGATAGAGACCTTCTCCAAATGGGCCGAGCATTTGGAGGAGGTCAAGTACTGGTGGGACAAGGCAGACCTTCCTTTTCCCATCATCTACCTCGACATTGCTTTCCCTGAGGTCCGGACTCCAACCGATGAAGAAGTAGCAGGTCTCCCCCACCATCCACCAACAACAACAATTCAACCAGAAGGTAGGCCAATTGAACCCACCCCAAACCTACCCCCCACCAACCTCGGGGCATACCCGAAAAGACGTCCCCCTCCACCACCCCACCAAAGCACACCCAAACCTGGGGAAAATCAAAATATGGAGGGAGGGAGCGACAACAATAAGAGGGAAAGGCAACGTTCTGGATTCCAGTTCGATACAAATTTCGCCATTGTAAATACGCAAAAGGACTACAATAGCGCCGGGCCAATAGGTCCCGACAACATTTGCCCGCCTTCACAACCAGAAGGCCAGACCCAACGGAATGTGCAGTTCAACTCTGCACCTCCGAGCAATCAATTTCATACTGCTCAAGAATATGAATTTTCTCATATTCAGGCGCAGCCGCGCGCAGAAGACCCATATGCGCGCACGTTTGGTCAACATGCGCAACCCGTGCAAGGTGACGAACAGCTAAAAGATGTCCTTTTGCTGCTCGCAACCAAGTTGACCAAGCAGCAAGAAATTACCATTGAAAGCGACCCCTCCAAAACGTTGCCAAAATTTGGGGGAAAACTTGAAGACTGGACCGGATTCTGGGACCAGTTTGTCGCAACTGTAGACAGCAAACCTCGCTACAGTGCGATTAACAAGTTTAGATACCTGAAATCGGCACTCCACGGAGATGCCGAACAGGAAATTAGGGCCATCCGCTTTACAGCGGAAAACTACGAGCAAGCTAAAAGCGTGCTCAAACGGGCTTACGGGGACCCTTACACTATCGTCAACTCGATGATACAAAAGATCACCCACCATCCCCCAATCAAAGTAAGCGAAGCCTCCATATTGAAGAGCTTCATCGTTCTAGTGGAGCAGTTCCTCAATACCGCCGCAATTCACGAAGAAACACGTGAACTTGCAGCGGCCTGCTCCATTTTTCACCTCAAGGCTAAACTGCCTTACACTATCCTTTTGGCTTGGACCAATCACTTGGACCGCCAAAGGGACAGTAACCAAAGGTCAGAATATGACCACGGAACGACTAAGGAATTGGTAGAATTCCTCAAACGGCATGTTCGTAATCAACATACCATACAGGTGGCCCAACAGTTTGAGCGAAAGCAGGACAGTCCCACCAAACAAAGCGACTCCACAAACAGGAATCGCGGTTATAAAAACAAAAATAAAAATAAGGGCTATAAAAATAAAAATAAAAATTATCCCGATCACCAAACCTCTGCACCTTCCACTGCCACTACCCAATCCCTCCAAAACTTTGCCACCCTTTCGGCCCACAAGCAGAAGGATGACAACAAGCAGAGGGATGACAGCAAGCAGAAGGATGCCAGCAAGCAGAAGGATGCCGGCAAGCAGAAGGATGTGTACCAGCACAAGGCTGGGTACAAGAAAAAGGATAGGGCGGTCACGTGGGAACTGGACAAATGCGTTTTTTGCTCCAGTACAACCCACAACAGCAGAATGTGCGTTGGGGACAAGATTATCCCTAACGCACTCAAAACGCTTAGGGACAAGCGTGCATGCATTATCTGTTTCCGGACCAATCATGAAACAGACAAATGCTTGCGGAAACGATGCACGAAGTGTGACGGGGCCCATCACTACTTCTTGCATCAGGACAAGGCATCTTCATGAGGGTGTGGTCGGACATCAACGGGCGAAATGAGGACGCCAACAGATGAGCCAAGACCGCCAACATTCGTGGAGACAATTTGTTCAACATCTAGTCATCTTCAAAGTGAAAGCGTCATTCTTCCTTCAGCGTCAGCAACTGCAAAGTCAAAAGATGCCTCAACGGACATCAGGGTCCTATTCGACTC